ATATTTAAATGACCACAGGTGGTAGCGAGGTTCATTGGTTGGGAACTGAAATTTTCCATGGCTTAAAATGAAAGAAGTAAACCGTATAGAGTTGCAGAATGGAAAGCTATCTGCGAACATTTTTTCTCTGTGAAGTATACTGCAGGACAGTGTTCCACCTCAACCTCATTCCTCTGTGTCCCGTTACTGCGCACTCCATCAAGCACACACAACTTCAAAGCAGGAAATGCACTAAGAAGGACCTGTCAGTTTCCCCTAGGAAATGATGAGCTTCTTCAAGTCAGCACCTTCTCTTATTTATCTTTGCACGTTAACGCTCGACATATTGTAAAGCATTAGATTAGGCTGAGCTGGAAGACACGGCAAGTAATCTCACTCTAATAAATGGTCTGACCGCCACCGTGGTGAAGTCTCTCAAAGTAACAGTTTTGGAACTCTAAGCTAGATCAGCTTCCGGCTGATATAGAGCAAAACATGCACTTGCATTTTTTGCTGTAAGTGTTTTGTTATTTATAGATTGTTGAAATATTTTTTATGGTGATGGAAAAAATGGCTGTACAAGCAGGAAAAATAACTCAAATATATCATAATATTTTATTCAACTTTATTGTACTACTTTTCTAGATGAATTAATTTTTTCTATATTAAAAAGTAAAATTACAAAGTGTAAGGAAACCATAATCTTTTAAATTAATATAAAATATATAAATAAATTTAATAATGGTTAATAAAAATTATTGCCAAAATGCAAAAATATATAATTAATTACATTATTTGTGGCTGAAGTATTTAATATACTCACTGATATTGAAAGGAACTTCTACAGTGGAAGTAATTAATTTCAATTGAATTTGTTTTAAATAAAAATCAGGATGTACAGTTGTCATCAAATTATATAGTCCACACAATTTCAAGTAGAAGAATGAATAATTGTTTTGGTTCTCATTGTATATTTCGTTGAAAGTACTTAGCTGACTCTATTAGCTGACTTAGATATCTTAAAAAACTAGATTGCTCTCTACAGTGTTTTCACTAATTCTAACTAACAGTGAAAAAGGATTTTCAAACACCTATCCACAGGTAACTCTTCCAGATACTGTTGTGTAAATGACCACAACTGAGTTATATTGAATGTGACAACCAGCCTGAAATAACCATCGTTACCTCCTACTAGTTATGCCTGCATATGGTTCTCCTGCTGCACAGCATACATTATTATTAATGGGTGACTAAGGAGATTACTACATGTAACTTCTGAGGTTAGGTCATGAAAAATATTTTAAACTCTGTTTTCTGAAATTACTTTGGGGGTGAATCAAGTTCCACGAGGACGCGTGAGCAACTTCATAACGAGGCCCACCAAGCAGAACTGAAGTTTGCTTCTGACAAGGCTCGGGGAGAATTTGCCCACAATATACCAAAGAAGTCATCCTGGAATCAGATTTGCAGTCCTAATGTTGCAGGAAAGTGGAATAGCTCTGAGCTATAGCCAAGTGTTATAGCTCTGACGCACAGCCAAGTGTTACAGTGCTGCAATTTGAAGACTCAAGAATCTGACAGTTGCTCAAAAAGGTGGAGAAAAACTTTTAAGATTCCAGCAGGCTCAGAGGAATTTATACTCAAAGTCTGAGAGCCCTACCAGAAATGAGAGCCTCCTCCTATAGGGATCTACAGGGTAGGGGAGCATGTTCACCGAAGCAGGAGAGTGGAGTCACATTACCATTCCCGAAACGTTTACATGCCACCTGAGTGCTCACTGAAGCAGAGGGGCGGAGTTATAGAGCATTCATGCAAGGGGCGGAGCTTAGCAAAACACTCCTGTGAGGGGTGGAATTTAACACTACCATGTGAGGGGGTGGAGCCTAACAACATTCTTGTGAGGGGGCGGGGCTACTGGGAAATTCCTGCAAGGTTAATAAATTCAAATAGTTATAAAATATTTTGATATACTGGGAAGGAGCCCAGCAGCACAAACAAAATAAAAGATTCTGTGGAAAAAAACCCCCAAAACAAAAAATATGGAGGCAAGGCCAAAGGCCTGTCTTACTGTTTACTGTTTCTCTATCACTATCACGCCTTCAGATCTGAAAGTGAATAATAGCAACTTTTGATATTTTAAATTTGCACAGTAAAACATGGTGTCTTTTTTAAACATAAAACTATGTTTTGTAACTAATGAAAGAGGAAAAATATACTTGTATTTATAAATTTTTGGTACATGCTTGGACAACGACCATTCTTGAGTCTCAAATGCCGAAATTCTTTTATTTCCTCTGTCCTCCAAATAAGCTCAACTTTTCCCCTACTAAGCTCCATACTGTCCTTAGAATCCCATATACATTTTCCAGTTCTGGGGTTTGTATGTAGTTTCCTAAGCTCTTTAAATCCAACCTTGTTCTGAATCAGGACTACTCACCATTGATTTCAAAGGACACAGTTAACACTAATGTATAGCAAGATTTTGCAGAAGCAAACCCCAGTTTCCGAAGGCACCTTTACCTGTTGTGAAAATATACAGTATAATCAAGATTATCGTCATAAGAACACAACTTGATTTGAAGAATACACTTGTTTCTGAACTTGATTTTTTTCTAATATAAAACACCTTTACTTAAGCATTACATTACCAAGCAGAAGGGGAAAAAACAAAAGAAAACACTTCTTTTGGAATGATCATTGTAATGCTATGAACCCTGGAAAGAACTGGATCGTTTGCAGTTTGGAGAAGAATATAATATTGCCAGTGATTATATCTAGAAAATGGTTAGCACTTCCTTCCATTACGCAGTATTATTTTATTGCCTCGAAGAAGCTTTCTCATTTTCTAAGCTCCCTTTGAGTACTATAAGGGCCACGGACATTCTTGAGACTAAAAAGTTTGTTTGGCAAGGAAAACTTAGCTTGGAAGGCAAGGCTTGGTACCTCAGTTCACAGACGGAGGGAGGCTTGGCGATGCCCAGGGCTTTGCTGCTTGGTGAAGAAAGAAGCTCCACAAGACTGTGACTCACTGCTCTCTCCACTGACACCCACTGGCATTAAAAATGCTGCCAGTAATCCTGAGGGAATTTTTGTCTTCTGTTTTGAAAGTTGTCAACTTTATTGGAGCCAGAATCTTGAATCACTGCCTTTTTAGGAAATTTGTCAAGAGTATGTTAGAAATTGGCCAGCTTTCTGGGTCACCCATTCCAAAATCCTTGGCTGGGCTTACAATAAAACGCTCAAGAGATGGAAACCTCATCCTCCGAATGATCTGAGAGAACGTGGTTGGCTGACTTACTCAAGGGTCATTTTTATATTTCCTATAGAGCCCTTTGACACTGCTGATGATAGAGATGACAGAGAAGGAACTATTTCATGAAAATTGCTATTTAGAAATCAAAATTTAGAAGTGGACGCCTATGTGAACGTTTAAATGCTACAAAAAAGTGCATCTTCAGTACTGAGACTGACAGACTTGTCAAATTCTTCAAGGAAAATATGCTTTATGACCTCAGAATCAGTATGGAACTTCTGATTATTGCTTCTGCTGAAGTGGCTTTACAACTAAGTACAAATCGAATAATTTTGATGTTGACATGGAAAGCATTACTGAAGCAGTAACTAGCTCAATGTAACTAGCTAACATAAATTCAAATGAGGAATCATACAGAATTCTGTTGTTCTAGAAAACAGGTAAATCCTCATGGACATAGCTGATGATAAGAACCAGACTCGGTTTGGTATTATTGTTAAGGATCACACAGATCCAATAAAAAGGAAAACAACTTCATTTGATGCAAAAAAAAATGACATATACATGACCATATTTCACATTAAATATTCAAATTTGTATCCAAGCAGCTGTCTTATCAAGAAAATTAATTTTGAACAGTTAAAAGTTTATTTCTAATTTACATAAATTTCATTTATTGTTCTGTATACTCGTTTTTAGTGTTGGGTCATTAACTTTTGCATAAAAATAATGAAATATTTTTATGAATAGCTCAACTTGGTGTATGACTAAAATATATGATAACAAATTACTCAGAATTTTATCAACAACTTTGTATTTCTGTTCATGTTTTACTTTTATCCAGTATGGGATCTCCTGTTGACTCCCCATCCTGACTAATTAAGGGCCTTATCTTTTCATCAGAGCTTGTTTGAATATTTTCAAGGCTGAGTCAACATTGTTGACTCCCTTTGCATTCCTATCACTCTATGTTTCTACTTCTACAACAGTTCCTATTGGATTTTATTGTACTTTTCTTCTATTGTATCATTAGGTTGTGTTTTTCAGGACAGAAAGTGCCTATTCTGTGCACATGTTAATTAGTACAAGTGTCTCAGAAATGTTGGGTGCTCACAAAATATTTTATGTTATTAAGTGCAAAAAGAAGATCCCTTTTTTTTCTGTTTTGATAGTTTTTAGGTAAGCCTATGTTCATAGGCCAAATTATTTTTTCTGGATAGATGCTTTCATCTTCATTGTAATTTAATGCATCACTAGTTATGGCCAATTGCTATAAACAAAGTATATGTGATAATTTAGGGCTTTTAGCTTCTAACACTATCACCTTTAAATTACAAAAATTTACTTTTATAATATTTAAATTATAATCAGTAGTTTATATGTAAGGAAAATACTTTTGCCATGTAAATTAAACCTATGTAATCTAAAGATTTTTTAAAAGCATCTTTTAATTTTTCATATTACATAAATCATACTTAGTTGTAGATACAATTTACTTGATCTATTCTTTAAAATTAATCACCAGGAACCAAAGTAAGGTAATTAAACTCCAAAGCCATATATCCTCAGCCAAATTTTATCTATAATTAGCTAACATAGATAAATTAAGGACAATTAAAAACGCTGAATTTTTCAGTGCTGCACTTATTCTTCACCCCTTTCCGCCCCATAGAGCCTTCCTGATAATGTTAGTTTCATGTTTTGTATTTACAGCAGAATGATGGTATCAGAAGACTTCAAATAATTTTGAAGTTACCATGAACTTTAAAACTTTTATTTGAAAATTTTAAATAAACCAAACATATTAGAACCTCAAGGAAATATTTGTTGAACTTAGTCTAATACTCCAAATATTCAAAGTGGAACCTTTGCTTCAGACAGAAGGCACTGCTCAAGCAATTAGAAGAATATGAAACTACAAGATCAGAGGATAGAATCTACACCAACTGGAATAACTCTGGGGAATAATTTTACAATAATAGATGCATTAGTTGGAAAAACTTACGGCAAAATATCTCCTGCATAAAATATAGAGCATGTGGCCAAGTTAAACTTGAGGAGAAAAGATATTTGTATCCCAAAGTAAATCATCAACATTCTCGCACATTTTATCACAAATCCTCGAGTGGTCAGAGGAGCCCTTAGGAAGATCTCTGTTGCTTGGAAGTGACCAGTGGATTTGAATCTGTAAGTATTTGCATCAGCAGCCTTAGAGATCTGTGCACTTCAGCACTTTCCATTTGCCTTTCTCTTTTTCTCTTGGCTTTGTGAAACTATTTCCTATCTTCCACTTTTAGATTTCAGATCCTTTGGAATAATTTATCACTGTACTTCTTGGATTCATTTCTGCAAGCCACTGTGCATAATTTAAAACAAGCAATTTTACAGGGAATTTTATTTTTCAAAATAGTTCTCAAACATCTAATTTATATCCACCACAGTGTGATGCTCTGTTTCTCAGTGAATATCTGTATTATTTTGTAAAGTTATTTTATAAAGTTAGTCTTCCAAGTTTTGCCATCTTTTGCAAGTAGTCACCATAAACACATATTTCAATAGCGATTTGCCATTAAATTTCTCCTAATATTTGGCCTTCCATTTATGCTATTTATACAATGAAGATGCCACTTTTAAATCTTGCCTTTCTTTTCCTTATGTGTACATAAAATGAAAACTCCCTCCCCATTCTTATAGATATCTAAATATATTGTTTTCCTACCACATCAGGGAGATGGACTTCTAAGAAAAATTTTGAGTAGTTAGGACTTAAAATTTCAGAAGAAGACAGAAACCACTAATTATTCTTCGAGATCAAAAGGATGCATTTCATTTGCAAATACAATCAATTCATGGAGGCTATAGTACACAAATAATACTAACACATATAGCACTTCTCATCTTCAAAGGATTTTCAAAATATTAACTAATTAACAAGATTACACATTTATTAGGTAACATGTGGACCACATGCTTTTTCTTAAAAAAAGAGGTTTATGCTAAAATTACATATATTTTCATTATCAATGTGAAATACCTAATATAAATTTTTATTTCTACTACCTATTATGAATATTTGCTCAAAATTCACTAATATTAAAATTATTTAGTAAAAGTTAGAGATTATAGAATAGAAAATATTTACATTGCCTTTATCCTTTATGGCATCCTTTTGAACAAAGAGATTTAAAGTTTCATTTAAAGAATAGAAGATTAAATGAATTATAATTCTTAAACATTTTAAGAATTAAATTCTTTATATCAAGCAAATAATTATCTTTATTTTTTATTCTGTATGTCTTTTCCTCTGATTCACTGCTTTTTGACTTGCTCTAGAATTATTTTTTGTTTGAATGTATTCTTTTCCCTCTATTCTTCAGAGATAAAATGTAAACCTTTCTTGACATCACTAAAAAGATAGAAAAATATAACTGAATATGCAGATTCTGCCTGGATTTCAACATTTAGAGACATGAAATACTTATTAACAAAATGTTATTTGAAAAAGAGGATATTATCCATGCCTTACTAAATAGATGAAAAATATAGCAAATTGAAAAAAGAAACAAGTAACAATTCAAATGTATTTGGGAAAATATAAAATAGTTTGGTCCAAAATATTTTTTAGAAAAAAATGTTCACACTATTCAGAAAATCTCTACAAGTTTATTTAGCCTTTTGAAAATATACAACACCAGGAAACAAAGCAGTTTATGTATGTGTAAATCTTTCAGAGCTAGATACTAGCTCACAAATACTTGTGATTCTGATTTTAGCTAGTATTTTACTATTAAAGAGAAAATCAATCAACGTCCTGTATTTCTCTTCGTATAGGTCTTCGGATCAGGGGAGGAGTTAAGCAAGCAGAGGAAAGCTAGTAAGTACAGCCCAACAGTAGAATAGGAAATGTATGAACTCATTATTTATTGAACTTTCTTCCGGCAGAACATGAAGTATCGCTTGCTTTATGATGTCATAGGAGATAACAGCTAACCTGGCTAGGAGTTTGGGACATTGGCTTTCTCCTCTCAACCTCTCAGGGTGAGTTTTCCCTGGGCCCTTATAGATTCTGGGTGGAAAACGCAATTAGAATAGCACATCAAGTAAGGGAGGGTCCTGCTGGAATTACAGTGATTGATTTATAAGTTTACCATCAAAGTGATAACAATAACAGTAGATTCTTAATAAGTTACTGTTTTAAGAAACAGATTTCTCCTTATGCTCATTAATAATATTATTTTCACTCATCTATGTCCTTTGATTATATTTAAAATGTACAGGAGCTAGTAATTAATTTTTATTAGATCAGTTCCTTTTCATTACACATAACAATGTTTAAGAAAGAATTAAATAGGCTGCGAAAGTTAACTTTTGTTCTGAAGTCTGTTTATGCTGTGTTTTCACTGTTTGCCCACTAATACGTCCAATTAATCACCAGTTTCCATTGGCTACTTTTGAACTGTTTATTCTAGTGCAATGCAGGTAGATTACACATGGGTCTCCTGCCCATTACCTACCGGTCACAAAGGTGCGTCCTCACTACTCCTCTGTGCTCTAGCACAGGGTGACCTGTCACTCCCTTGGGTCCCACAGAAGTTACTTTATACTTTCTTACAGAGCAGATTTCATACTCTCCTCATTTTCCCAAATGCCGAGAGCTTCTGAAAGTGGTAGCAGTGTTTTATTCATTTTAAAGTGTCCAGCATTATTTCTAGTGCATAGTACTATTATTAAAAATAAGACATGACACAAATTGCTTACTGCAATCCAAATTAAGAAAAACAAATAAATTCCTTATTGAATTCCTTGGCTTCAATATTCAGATTGTACATTATTAGAGAACATTTAAAATCCTATTTTAATCTGTTAACTTACTTTGTACACCTTTGTTTGCCCATGGACAGTACTCTGCACTAGTGAGGTAGCTGGACTCTATCCAAATGTTCATATATATCAGAGTTTAACAGTTGACTTAGGTCAAGGTAACATGTAAGAGATAGTTTTGTAATTCACTGTATTTATGATTGGTATAAGACAAAGAGATATTCCCATCCTTCACTCCTGTGTAGAGATGTGTGGCTGAAAGCCAGGAGGACCTAAGGGGCCTGAGGCATCTTTCTCAGACTCCCACAGCTTTGAAGAGAGACCCAGAACAGGATACCAACAAGTACTGCATTGACCTGCTGAACTGCACTAATGCAACACAAGAGACTATTTAAGACAAGACATTTATTTCCTTATAGTTACGGAGACCAGGAGTCTAAGGTCAAGATGTCAGCATACTGGTGGCTGATGTCTTAGAGAAGCCACCAAGAGGCCACTCTTTGGGTTGTAGGTGGCTGCTTCCTTGCTGTGCCCTCCCATGGCAAACCCAGAAAGTTCTGAGATCACTTCCTTTATTTATTTTTGTTGTTGATGTTATTGTGATAATGCAGATTGAATCCTGGACCTTCACACTAACGTGCATCCCTAGGACTTCTTAACATTTTTTGCATTAAGACAGGTTCTCACTCAGTTGCCCAGGTTAGGCCCATATTTGTGATCCTCCTACCTCATCTCTCAGAGTGTTTGAATTCAAGGTATGGATCACCATCCCAGACTTTCTGCTCATATAAGGCCACTAGTCCTACTGGATTAGAGTTCCTCCCCTTTATTTGCTTCCATTTTCTCCTGAAAAACCAATCTCCAAATACGGCCATGTTGGGGATTGAGGCTACAAGAAAGGAATTTTGAAGCAATGCGGTTCAGTCTGGAACACATACTAATTTTTTCCTTATAATTTCCTGACTTCATTGTAAACATGGAAACATGATCAATCAAATAGGATCCATTTGCCTTTGAGGTTCAAGGTTTGGTCACTGTCTTCACATTCAGCTTTGCTGTGCCAGCTGTGAGAGGATCTTCTACATGATATGAATCAGCCTGGTTATTTGTAAAGAAATGAAAGAAACATAAATGGAGCTGACAAACTTCTTTCCATTCTAAAGTGTTGAGGGTAGAGGAACTTGGCAAGGAGAAAGAATCAGAACAAAGAGTGACGTATAAACGCTATTATAACCCGAAGCCGGTTCCTCTCCCACACTACTCTATGCTACCTGGTACATTCTCTGCTTAGCAGCAGCAAGCCGAAGAGTCCAAGACTGTTCATTCTGTTGAAGAGAATTCAAGAGGTATCTAAGCAAACAAATCAATACATTTTGAAATACGGTGAGGTTGGAAAAAAATGTAAGCTGTAGGTTTGGCTATGTCTAGTTTGGTCCACGTGTATGTATCCATTTAATGACAATGAACAGGGTTCCTGTCGTTACATAGATACATGGGCCAGTCAAGTATCTGTTACCGTTGCCCTTATGGTTTTGTGTTATTAAGCAGGCAGGCATTTCCTTTATAGAAGGTAAGCCTTATGCTTTAAAGCCATTGACTACTTATTACTCTGAAAAAAAAAACAGTATGTATTTTAAATTACTCATATAATTGTTTTGTGTTTTGGTGCCTAATCCCACTCCTTGAAATGCATGAAAAGAATTAAAATGTTCAAATTGTTTCCTTTAATTTCTTCTATGCACTTTCGTGGGTGAAATTAACCTCTACACTCTAAAATGATTGTATGTGTAATATTAAAAATGGAACATCTCATTTCCTTTTTATTTCTATTGTGGGGATTGTAAACACCAGAGGTATCTAATGAAGGCTTTACTTCTACTGCAGTACAAAATAGAAAAGATGCCTTGGAAATGCGACCAGCAGCTTCTCTTTCACATTGGTGTCCTCATTGGCTGTGACACAGCGGTTTTTGCTTTCCTTTTTCTTTTTTTCCTTTATATTCATTGTAATTTTTAATGACTCAAGATGACAAGATGTCAACAATGAAGCTATAGAGAAGCCAGGATCTAGTTCCAAATCGAGCTCTCATTTTAGTGTGTTGTTATGCTAGTTTAGTACCCCAGAGTAAGGGTTAAGTGTATCCAAAGTCACAAAATTCGGACCATTCAAATTTTCAATAAATGGTCTTAACATCACTAACATTGCAACCTTGCATTGTCAAAAACCTCTTTCCCAGCAAATTCACAGATTATTCATTATTATTTTAAAGAGACAGCAAAGATTGTTTGTGTTGGCATCTCAAGTTGTAACTTATCAGATCCAGATACTCTTTCATGTGAAGCTCTATTTACTCAAATTTAAATAGTTTAAAAAATATCATGGACTTTAAACAAATATTCACTAAGCAAATCTAAACACTCAGATAATTTGGCCAGCTATTTTTCAAGAGTAGCCAGATTTTATCAGATAGTTTTAATGATAAAGCATTCGGTGACAAAGGGAAAGAGCAACGTCCTCTACTTTGGTTAGTTTTGCTCACATATGAAATCAAGTACTTTCAATAAATGTATACAGTATACACATTTCATTCTAGATCACATTTTTACTAAGAACTGTCTTACAAACATAAAGCAAGCATCAAAACTCACATTTGGAAAACAAAGAAAACCTTCTACTGAATCTACAACCTTTGTTTCACACACAGACTGGAGTCCCTGCAGGGCAGAACCTTATGCACTTCAGATTTCAACGTGATTTAGTCGGAAACTTGGGTTTTAAAGAATCCATCTTGCAGTGCTCTGACAAAGTAATTGGCTGGAAAAATTATAATAAAATTTTCATAAAGTTCACATTCATGAAGTGGCAAAAATTGCTTTTAGGAAATTACGGTATTAATAATTTACACCCATGTCAATAGCATTTCCAAAATAACTCAAGCTCTCTACCTCCAAGATTATGAACCTACCTTGATTTCTAGCCTCCCGTCCCTGCACACAGTTAAATACACTGAGACACCCTGAGATCTAGACGCAGATTACTCATTTAAGAAGATGGGGCCTTGTTTAATTAGAGATTTATCATTTTAACTAGCCGTACTATTGCACTGAATTAGTTTTCCAGGGTTTGCAGAATTAAAGATGGTAAAAATTGATGAACCTTATCTGTATTTCCCCCCAAAGGGTACAAACTTTTATTACATTTCAGATGCAAAACACAATTAGCCTCTAACCTAACCACGTTAATCTTCCTGAGTTAAGCTTATGTTTTTCTGCTTGTCTAGAAACTTTTAATGAAAGATCTATGTCTTTTTACAGCCGATTTTAATAACCTCTTTATTTGCATCTCTGCCCTTGTTTAGAGGAGGAGTTAATACGATAAACTCCTGGATTACAGAACACTCTGTTAAAACTGGAGATAAATACAATTCTGTGACATTCAGTGGGAGCTATACTCAGCAGGAGACAGACGACAGCAATACACATTTCTCAATTTCCAAAACTTTCCGTGTAATTAACTGACATGAATACAGTGGCATCTTCCATTATTCCCTTCTCGAAATTCCAAACCTGTGGTCCTTAAACAGCACCATTTTGACAAGGCTGGATTTAAAAACTGATTTAATTCATGGGTGAGTAGTCTTTTAGAGGTTGATTTTTTTCCCCCTGTGCAGCAGATCAGGTGCAATTTTATCTCGGTGTTTTCTGTAGCACATTCTGTGATGCTCAACCTACTCCAAACTGTACTTTCCGCTGAACAAAAGTTTCAGTGGGCCAAGTAGAAGTTGTCTGAAAATGGGGAAAGGTCGATCGGTCATGGGAGTTCTCCCTCGGGGTTAGGATCTGTGACACAGGTGCTTTCTCATCGCCAATGAAATGTTTGATACCTATTGTGTGCACTCTGATTTTATCTCTTAGGGGAGATTTATCTCAAAAGAAAAAGGAAAGTAACATCCTCTTTTCAAGGCGGAACTACAGATGTAAACAGTAAATTCTCTAGCCAAGAATTACCTAAAATATGTAACCACAGTAAACTGATTTACCTCTCACTGTATTGATATTCTAACACTCTGTCATTGGCTTCACTATTGCCAGTCTGCAGCAATATATTGAAAAAAATGTGTCTTGAAATTACATTTAAAAATGATTTGGGGGGATATTTTATACGAAAATTGTCCAGAGATGTCAATTTTTAAACATAGAACTGCATAGTTTATTCCAGTGGACAGCATCAATTTTCAGTCACTTAACAGTGAGATGAAACTTCTGTACACAAAAGTCGTGTCTCACATATTATCCAATACTCAGCACGACACAAAACCCAGTGAGGTCAGCTGCAAAGTTTCAGTGAGTGAAGATGGAATCCATATTTGCACAGGAGGCACCGACTCACCCAATAGTATGCAGATGGAACAAGAGGAAAGAAAAAATAAAAAACTGTTAAATACACAATTTTCTCCAAGCAGGTGGGGCACAGCTATGACCTCAACACTGAGAGAAGCTAAGCCTGGAGTATCCAGAGTTCAAGTCCTGTTAGGGCACATCAGTGAGACCCAGTACCAAAACTTAAAAATAAATTCAAAACCAGACTGGGGATTTTTCAAACCCCGGTCCCTTGAAAAAAAATTCATAAAAACCTTCTCACAGAAAAAATAGCCAGTCAAGAAACATAATTACAATTACTTCCAGGGTTGATCTCAATGTTTCTTGCCTTCTGATACTCAATGTTCTATAATCAATGTTATCGCCTTTATGAGTCTTCAGTCTCTTCTTAGCCTAACTAAAACCCAAACCTCTTTCCTAAGTTGTTATTAATGATCTTTGTTTTTCGCTATATGTAATCATCCTTGTGTTTTGTTAATGACAAATACCTAGCACTTCACTTTTACAGAAAAAAAGTCCAAGTAACTTATGAAATTCAAGATCCTCCCCAAACTGGTGCCCTCTTTATCTTCTTCACTCACCATTCTAATAAGATGCACTGTTCGCATGTACGGGTAGTCTCGAAACTGTGACATTTCCCTTAAATTAACAATTGCTTATTTGGCGTCCTCTGCCTGAAAAATGCTTCCCAATGTTGTATACCCCTGGGAAATTTCCTTCAAATATTACCCATTTCTTAAAGCCTTCCAGAATTGTCCAAGCAGAATTAATCACTCTTTATTCTGTGATGCAGTATCTACAAGATGCTTTTGGGAGAACAGCTCCTACATCAAGCGATATCAGAATTTATTGTTGCTGTATACCGTACTACCCATAATTCATATTTTCCTTGCTCTGAGCAGAAAAAATACTATTCTTATTTGACTTTAAAGGTACACCATCTAGAAGAGTGTGAAGCAGCAGAATTAGTTCAATAAATGTAAGTAGAGCATGAAATAAAGTAGCTCTAAAGAACTGTGGGACTCATCTATTTTGCTCGGTGACCAAGCTGATGAACTCCCAAAAGACATGTACATCTTCCTGCAGTCATTCATTCCCGAGACCCAACAAGGAGGCCCCTGCTCACATCTCGATAGTCTCTTGCTGGGAAGTAGCTTTCTCATCTGAGCTCCACTCCCACATCCCCGGGAGGAAGTGAGTTGTCAGCAAAGCTAACCCTGACTGTGCCTGGCAAATTCAAGCACATATATTTTCCAAAGATAGTTTGTCCTGAAAAGGAATCCGAGTTCTGCCCAGGACATATCGCTAACGCATTAGCAAATGAGTAGCCAAGTGCGGATAGAATGGACCGCTTCTTCAGTGTTCTTCAATACCCAGAATATATAGCTGGAGTGAAGTCCTGTCAATGAATGATTCTAAAATCAGTGTGAGGAAAGGAAAGGAAGAAAATTCTTTGTATATGTTATTGTTTTCAAGAAGCAACTACTTTGGAGATTGTTAATAGTTCAAGGTGCAGTATTTGCTTTAAAATAAAACTTATTTGGGTCCAAATTACTTTTCAAGCTGTGCTGGTACGAATAATCTTATAAGATAAACATAGGAATTTTAAAATTAAATACTTTTCCTGGATAATCTCATATCCCAGTGAGCTGATAGATACTCAGTGTTACATATATATTCTCTCAACCTCTACAATTTCTTACAAGCTGCATGAGGATTCCGGGGCTTAGATACCTTAGTAGACTTGGCACAGGTCATAGAAATTCAATGGGCGGAGCCAAAGTTGGAACTTGAGTGTCATTTGCTTTCAAAGCCACTTTTATTTAGAAGACACTAGGAATTTAAGGCATGATATCTAGTATGACTGTGCATAGTTAAATATGTAGATTAAATAGTTCAGCAAATCACAACTGTCTCATTCACCATCATCAGTTTCCTGAGCATAACCCAACCTGCCCAGACATGGGTAATTTACATCCTGCCCTCAGTGTGTAAGCCCTACAAGCCAAGAACCTAGCTCTTGATTACAAAGGCTATGCATACTCCCCAAGACTCAAGACTCAAGAATACTCAGTAAGACACAGTCTTACACTATATATATATAT